TGTCAAGCAACTACAGCTTTTACGACCCATATAACCTCATGTTAGTGTGCAAATTTGGTCAGACAAAAGACCAAAGACTACAATTTGACTGTACTAAGGGGAACCTCCATAGCTGGTAAAGCACCACTTGTGGGTGTACCTGTGAGTCGACTTCTGCAGGGGATTTACCACGGGCATTTAGTGCACTGAGTGGGAAAGTTTTGCCCTCAGTGAAGGCAGGCAAGTGTAGTCAGCAGTGGGGCTGGGTAGCCCAGGACAGCGGAGGAACTACTGTTCCTTTGCTCGTGGATATCACAACTCGGGGGCTTTGTTCTCTGAACTCCAGGCCTTGTACAGTGGCCGCACTGAGCCTTCAGCCAGAAGTGACGCTTCTGCTCCATTGGCTTCTGCGATGTCAAACGTGGGCAGCTACACTAACGCCTCGACAGTTCTCTAAAGACGGTTTCTCATGAGACATCTCCATGACCATGAACATGCAAGTCGATTCTTCAGAAATCCTCTGTCATTCATGGGGTTACTTGGATTCTATACTATTGATCAGTTATCATCTAGTCATGAATATATTGGTTCCACTTCTCTAGAGAACTTTTAGTATAAAAACATCAGAAAAACTATGAAGAATTAATAAAAGCAATTAAAAAAGCAACAAAAACAAACAACTCCCCCCAAACATGACAGAGACACAAGGGTAAAGATGTCAAGAATGTGTCTAATATGTTGAACTGAACCAGAATAAGACAGTGTTAATTAATTAAAATGTGTTTGATATATTAAACCTAACCAGAGTAAGACAATGTAAGTTAAATTATTAACTGGCTTTGGTCCCTAACAGGGAGTTGAGTATTTAAATTGTGATTACGTTTTTCTTGTCAGTTTATATTTATATCATGGATGTAATGCGTGGCATATCCTCAGAATGACTAAACTGTATCTGAGAGCATATACATCTAAAACAGCCTGTGAAGATTATGCCAACTTGACAGGATCTAGAATCACTTGATAGAAAGACCTCTGGGTATGTCCGTGAGGAAGTTTCTAGGTTGGGTTATATTTTAGTGCCATCGCTGTGGGGAGCATCATTTCATGGACTTGGATCCTAGACTGAACAGGAGAACGAGGTGGAGCCCCAGCATGCAGCTGCCTCTACTTCCTGACGGAGGTGCAATGTGACCAAGTACCCTACTGTGCAAGCTGTCCCCTGATGGAACATGATGACCTCACCCTCAAACCATGAGTGGAAACAAACCTTTCCTTCCTCAGGGTGCTTCTGTCTGGTATTTTGTCTCAGCAACAGGAAGAGTAAATTCCATTATGTAAGCCATCCAGTACTTTTACAATATGTTTTACTTTTATAATTAAAATATAGCTACATCATTTTACATCAGCCTTTTCCTCTCTTCAGCCTCTTCCATTTACCCTCTTTACTTTCTCTCAAATTCATGCCCTATTTTTCTTTAATCATTCTGATATATATATATATATATATATATATATATATATATATGGATATACATTCTAAATATTTAAGTGCAACTTGCCTACTGCATGTAATGTTAATTATGTGTAAGTTATTTCAAGGCTGAACACTTGATGTTAGATAACAATTAGAGTGGAGGGGATCATCCCTGAGGAATAAGATTTCTCTTATTCAATACTTTTCATAAAATGTTTCCAACAGTTAAAACATTCTAAAAAGTGCCCAAAAGGTCAAACATACAGTTACATGTGACTACAACGACCAAACCGGAAGATAATAAAAAGTTTCTCAATGACTTAGATGCCTCAAAATATTCCCCTTCAATATTTACTGAATACAAGCAACTATCAAATCTCCTTAGGGTTATATGAAATATCGAAAATTTATAGTACTGACACAAAATTTATATTCAGGTTAAAAGTGCAGAAGGAATGAAAAATAAATTACACAATATTCTTCCATATATCTAGAAACCTAACAATAAGAAAAATGTGTAGAAATAGTCATATACTTGGATGTTTTTCATAAAGAGGGAGAATAAATCCAGAAAATGTATTTTAATAGCTTCAAGGGTTGTTCTCTTAGGGAAGAACAGGGCCTATGGCTTCAGAGAGGGCCAGGGAATGTTATGCTGTGAATGTGTGTCAAGTCAAGCCAAGTTCTTGAGTTGAACCTAAACCTGATACTATGGTTTTAGGGGATGGAACTCTGGGAAGCCATTAGGACAAAAAGCAAAGTCCTTATAAAATGAGACTTGTGCTCTGAAAAGCAGGGTTCCAGGGAGTTTGGGTATCACTTGTAGCATGTGCAAAGGCAGAAAGAGGGCTCTGTAAGCAAATGGGTACTGTCCACACATTAGATGAACTGACATCTTGATCTTGGATTTCCTGGCTTCCAGGACTGAGCTATATTCTTTGGATTTATAGCCCACATGCTTAATGATGTTTTGTTTCCATAGTCTGCATTCGAATAGATGCGTAGAAGTGGATTGTTGCCTAAATAACTGCCTAAAACTGGGGACACCATTTTGGAACTGGGTAGAGGTTCAATAACTTTATAAAAATGCTTATACTGCTGTTAAGAGATGTCATTTCGTTAAAGATTACTTTGGTACTAGACCATAAAGGAGAAGAAACTGTAGAGAAACACCTAATTTCAGGGAATATATAAGTGATTTTCAAGATTATGCTGATGCAGATATGGAGGGTAAAAAGCATCCTTAACAGAATGTTAAAATCTCAGATTAAAATGAGATGCTATTGGACAACAGAAAGTCTGTCAGTGTTACAAAGTTCCTTGGTTATTTTTGTGTTTTAGTATTTTGTGAGTAGTGAGTGACAAAGGGCTTCTAAGCAAGAAATCAGGGGACAATCCCTCATTAAATTCTCTCCCTTATTTTACTACTCATGAGATCGACTGTTAAGTTCTCTCATTCAGTCCAAAGAAGAAACTATCCTGCTCACAGAATGTTCTCCCGGAACTTCAAAATCACTCTTAGCCACAAACGCCTTGGGCATGTGCATTTCAGCAACCATGCTCTATAACTGACCACTCTCTGACCATCTACTGTTGCTCCTGTGTCACAAAGGGCACATTTAAGGAAACACTGATCCCACATAAATCCTCACTTCGGCCACTAGCTGCATATGATTTGAACTGATGAAACCTCAAGATCTAATTTCTATCAAATGGAAAAATAACTTAGTAGCTTCACTCTGGAAATATCCCTCCAGTAAAGTAGCCCACAAAATGTCACCTCAACATTTCCCAGCAGTGTTCTCACTTATGGAGTCAGCCATGCTGCAGCCAGCATACACAATTTACATGCATTATCTTTGGGAACTTTATACATACACAGAATGCATTTTGATCATATTTATCTCTACTCTCCTCTGCCAACTACACATAGAAAGCTCTCACTCATAACCTATGTTGCTGTTTTCTTTTTCTTTTTGCTTCTTCTTCTTCTTCTTCTTCTTCTTCTTCTTCTTCTTCTTCTTCTTCTTCTTCTTCTTCTTCTTCTTCTTCTTCTTCAAGAACCCACTGAGTCTGATAATTGCTACCCACATGCATAGTTGTGAGACCATTCACAAGGGCAACATAACAGAGTTCACATTAGTAAAGAAAAAAAAAAGACTCTCCCTCCCTCAACCATCAACCACCAATAGCATCTCAGCTAGCAATGGGATCTGGTGAACTTCTCTTACTTATAGAGAGATTTTGACTGGTTTTGTCCTATGCATATAACCACACTTCTGTGAGGTCCTCAGCCATGCACACTTTTGCTTCCTTTTCTAAATAAGACTTCTGCTTACAGGTGTTCTGTATCCTTATAGCTTGTTTATCAATAAGAGCACGAGCTCTTAGAATCTCCTCCATAGACAGATGTTATCAGACCACAGCCCCATATAACCCAATTATACCTTTAAAAATCATTCCTTACAAACTCAGCCACCCAAGGGCTAGAAATTCAACATTTCATTTTGGAGGAATATCAAACATTTAGTCTATAACACTCATACATAAAATATAAACAAAAATTATTGATAATAAAGAAAATGGTGTAATCATAGTCTATAAGACATCCCTTTTAAAAGGTTGTGAGAATATGCATATATATTTGGCTTCGGTGTCTTTCAGACATTCTTCCCATTATGATTTTTAACCATGTACATCACAGATGCGATATTAACAAGAGGAGCTCGTGAGAATGCCATATACTTACGTTTCTTTTGGTATAGTAAATGGAGTCATTCTATAATTCAAAAATGGACTTGAAATCTCAAGGAACTGCTCAGGCTTCTTCGGTGCAGCATCTGAGAAGTCGGGAAATGTGATGCACACTTTCAGAATCCTTCAGAGTCTAAGGCAGTGTCAGTTAGAGTACATGTTTACCCAGGGATTTCAATAGAAGTAAGCAGGAATGAACACAGACATTTCAGTTAATTAAAACACTTTACAGAGCTTGCCAATATTAGCTTTCCTTTGTCTATAGCCAGTTTCTTTTAAGGCTGTGTGTGGAGCAATGATATTGAATGGTGAAATTTAACAAGCGTTTGCATTTGCTGCTGCTTTAAGTGCAAAGATGACTTTACATATAAATCGTTTAAAAAAAAAAAGTGTCCCTCAGTTAACCTCCTCAGCACAACCACTTAAGACATGAAGAGGAATGTGAGCTGATTCACAGAAACTAAAGTGGAAGAAGAAGCAGGAAGTACCATGTATGGCAGGGAAACAGTGGGCTGAGAGAGAACTGTGAGTATGCAGGAGTATTAAGCTAGTCTGGAAATAAGAAATTCCCATCGAACACAGGCATGGTGGTGCACACACACTGTAATCCTAGCATTCAGAAAGGCAGAGGCAGGTGAATCTTTGTGAGTTCGATCTACAAAGTAAGTCCAGGACAGCCAAAGCTGCAAAGAGAAACCCTATCTCAAATTAAAAAAAAAAAAAAAAAAAAGAAAAGGAAAAAAGAAAAAAGAGAAAAAGAAATTCAAATTGAGAAAGGAGAGCAGCACATATCATCACAGTGAACCGTGAAGCTGAACAGGAAAAGAAACAAGGCTCGGACAGAATACCAAAGTTCCTCTGGTCACTCTGCACTATCCTTCAGAATGAAACTCCTTTTTCACTCTTGTTCATTGTTTAGCTTACATATTAAACCCAACAGAAAGAAAAAAGAGAACCATATAAGCTTTAGCAGAGGCCTGACACTATGATCCCACCAGATCAAAATATGGTATGTATGTTTAATTGTTTTGAATATAAAATTTTGATGAAAGAGTCGAGTAGCGTTAGGTACGTGGCTGCATGGCTAACCCCAACACATAACCGTCTTCCGCAGAAGAGACTGGCGAGCCCCCAGAGAAGTGTAAATTAGACTGTTAGCAACATGGCACATACCTTGAGCTTCATCTGTTATGACAGTTTCCTTTTTTTGGCGAATGAGTTTCCAGGGAGGTAAGGGAGGAGGTTTGGGGGGTGCCACAAGGGGACAAGACCTACTTCTGGTCACCAGCACAGGATGGCTACAGATGTGAGAAAGCCCGTATTCCCTAAGTTTCTCTGCAGAATTTGCCTAAGCGATGGAAAGAGGAATTGAAATGAATCTTCATTGTCTCTTATATTTAAAAACTTTTGCTAATATAGAAAAAGGGGGCAACTATGTTTTTAACCCTTAATAAATATTACACTACCATACATATTTCTTGCATCTTTAAGTTTTTCTGAGACCCTATTTGCTTATTGAAAAAGAAGAAATTAGGCCATTCTAGAGCTTAAGTTCCAGTGAGAATATAAAAGTTTGTGGGTAGCAGTTTTCTATGTTGTAGCTGTAAAATCAGTCCTGATTATCTAAAAATAAAAAATAAAATAAAAATAAAACTCACTGTCAGTTGTTTCTTAAATGTGCTTAGGTCTTGTAAGGTGACAAGAGGTGGCCTTACCTATGATATATTATAATCCTTTAACAGTGGGTTTTTCCTCAGGAAGTCCCCATCACTGGAGACAATGGAGGCTTTGACAGTGGGGTTAAGAAACAGCCCTGGAAGCTAGCTCTTTTGTTAAAACATTCAGTTCTGAAGCCATATGGAAAAAGTCAGACCATTATTTCAACAAAACTTTAGGTCCTAACTGCTGCCTGAAATGTGTTACAGAAAAAGAAAGAGAAGAGTAGGAGGAGAGGGGGAGCGTTGAATTGATCCATGCTACTACCATAGATTGTTTTACATTTAACAAATAACCAATAATAAATACCAACTACACTGAAGTCAGTCCCTCTGGGAACTGTTTTCTTTCTAATGATTTGACATGATTGGTTTCTATAATAATGATATAAATAATAATTCAAATTTAAGAGAAAAGTGATATTTATGGTTTTAAAAAGTCGCCTAAAAGAGAAAACCTTTTTACTTTTGTTTTCTTACAGACTCTTATCAATTTACTAAAAAAAATTCAAAAATTTTTTGTAATTCATAAAGTAGCCTACACACATTTCCCTATACCATCTAAATAAAGATATTTTTTCCCTACACCTTTATTTTGTTAGGTGTTAGAAGCCATGATGAAATCAAGTCACCACTTGAGAGTAATCGGCTGGTAACTTAGGGAGAATTTAAGGCCACCAACAATAACATGTTCAAAGAGGCATGACTGCGGCAGTTACACATTAATGCCACCTTGGTGAAGCCACACTCAAAATAATACTTTAAAAGTGGAACAAATTCTAGACACTTAACAAAGGATAATTTTGAATCATACTCTCTCTGTCCCTCTCTCTGTCTCTGTCTTTCTGTTTCCCTCTCTTTCTTATAACAACCAATATTTTAATCTAAAAATAACTTCCTTTTGGAACTGTAGAACATTGAAAAATAAAACAAAGTAAAATGTTGTGAAAATATAAAGTGATGGTTGGAAAAACAAAGCAAGGTATTAATTCTGCACCACAGTTACTAGTATGTCAAAGAACTGTCCTGATTTAGCATGATAGATTCAAAAATGAAAAATTCTTATACTTTATTTTCAATATATTATGTAATTTTGGGGAATCAAATAAGCAGTGCCACAAATCCTGGTTAAAATTTGATTGTTTGATTATTTATTTATTATTATGTATTTATTTATTTAATGTGTATGAGTGCTCTGTCTACATACACAGTGGAAGAGGGAATCAGATTCCATTACAGATGGTTGTGAACCACCATTTGGTTGCTGGGAATTGAACTCAGGACCTCTGGAAGAGCAGCCAGTGTTCTTAACCACTGAGCCATCTCTCCAGGCCCCCTTGATTATTTAAAAACAAAAATCAAACAAACAAACAAACAAACAAAAATTTTCCCCAAAGCACTTCAGAGATCCTTAGACAAGAATTGGGTGTAAAGAGGGCTGTAGAATAGCACTCTCAAGACTAAATAGATACTTAATGTCTGTTGAATGGTTCTGGCAAAAACTTAAGCTAGAAATCTTGTTTTCCAAGACCCCTTTACGGCTCCCCCCATTCTATTTCAAATTCTCTAAAAGCAGGAGCCAGAGTTGCAGGCTGAGAAAGCTTATTCATCTAAAAACCCAAAGTGTAAAATAGATAGATAGATAGATAGATAGATAGATAGATAGATAGATAGATAGATAGATAGATAGATTAATTAAATAAAAACCCAAAGTGTTTAGGATGCCTGACAGCAGGAGTATTGGATCGCATAGAGTAGTTTGTGACATTTTGTTCTATTCTTATGTAGTCTCCATTGCTTCTTAACTAAATGCAAGCTGTTAACTTATGTGCTGATCTTAACATTCTTTGGGCTGTAACTGTAGTGATATACTCCGTAGAAGGAATCTCCTATATATTGTATGGATGCAACACCTGTCAATGAAAAAAAAAAATCTATGGCCTATGGTTAAGGCAGGAAACAGGTGGGACATCCAGCAGACAGAAGGAATTCTGGGATAGAGCCAGGCACCTGAGATTTCAGCCTGTAAAAGATGTGAGGAGAGCAGATGCATGGTACCTCAGCCCAGGTAACCAGCCAAATGCCAGAATGTAAAATAGAATAAATGGGTTATTTTAAGTTATGAGCTAGTCATAGAAGAGCCTAGCTATATGGCCTAGGTATTTGTAAATATTTTGAGTGTCATGGGCCATTATTTCAGGAGCTTGGGGGCATTCTACTACAGACTCCATTTTACAAAATTTCAACAGGCAAGAAATCATTTCTTACATATTTATGTTTAAAAGTGTATGCATATGCTCTATTCTACTCTGATATTTACAGAGGAACTAGATAAAAATCATACAAAGTTACCCTCAAAGAATCAACAGTGGGATAGTGGACCATGACACACCAGACACATGGTGACAGCTGGAGTGGGTCCTTTGATCACATTACAGACACTAGACTGACCCCAGAGTCTTTGGCACTGTAAGCTCTCTATGGTACCCAAGGGGGAGGTTTAAACAGGGTTGTGGTACACAAGTATTTGCAACACTCAAAGGTACATGACCACACTGAGCCTGGCAGAAAAAGAAAAAGAAAAAGGTTTATAAAGAATATTCTTTCCTTAGTTATAATTTGAACTGCTTCTGGAACTTCTGTACAATTAATTCAATCTCTGTCGGTTTCCTAAACACAGGGTCTGTGAGGTCTCCTTGCTCTTCGGACTTTCCACATGATCTTTTCTCTGCTTTGAATATACTTTTTCTTATTTATTAGTATAACTTCTTTTATACCTCAGGTTAAGCAATCAGCTTCCTTGGGAAGACCTCCCTGGCTGCCCATTAGGGGAAAAAGTTCAGTCATGTGTCCTGTCTCTCCACCCCCAATAATTTTTTTTCTCTCATTCAGATAGGTATTCATCTGTGCCACCGCTCCAACAAACGCTGTTTATCTAGATACCTTATATACTCTGTTATAACAGTTTCTTCCTTGTTTTCCACTTAAGTATACTCACTGAGCTTTGTGGCAAGGAATTCAGACTGTGATATTCATCTCTATGGTGTAAGAGTAGATCACATTGCCTAGCATATATGCATTATAATATATGAATTAATGTGTATGAAGTATTACACTTTTAACAAGCAGCTTGAATATCCCTTGGATATAAGGCATAACATGCAACAAAATATGGTTAATGTCCTTTAGTGGTGCATATATTGAGTGTTTACCATCTAAAGCATCTGAGATGGTGTCCATGATACACAAGGAAGAACATAAGGAAGAAAAAAGAGACCCTAAACTCAACAGAACGCTTGGCTTGAGAGCAGCTTTAGGTACACCCAAGTATGTACAGTTGTGGGGGAGCTGCTGATTTCCAAGCACCATGAAAATTTCTGATTCTGCTATTCAACCATGGTTTCTCTTATTTCACTTTGGATGAAAAATAACAGAAACTGCCTCTGCCCCTGTGCACATGCTAGCACACTTTGTTCTATCATTTTTATAATGTTACTACTGTTTTTTACTGACTTTTGCCGATAATAATGGATTCTAAAATGATGGTATTGTGATCTCAGGCTAATCTAAAGAATGAACAGTGACTCCACTGGAATATTTACTTTTCAAGCTAATCCTCATTGAAGTTTTAAAGTTCAACTCCAACTAACAAACTGCGTATTCATGTACAATTGTATCAATGTACTCACTATCCTTACCTTTTAATGTAGTAAGTTTAGATCTTACACAATCCCTGTGAAAAGGTGCTAGGTGTGTAAAGCCCACAGAGCCAGAATCGGATAAGCCTTCAATGTATAACATCGGTCTAAATAAACTAACTGGACTTTATCCATCTAAAAAGAGAGCATTTGCCTTTCCCCCTCAGAACAGAAAAAATGGCTCAAAATTGTGGAATTATATAAATGGTATGCAATAACTAAACATGTTAATTAAAAAGCAATGTCATGGGAAAAATGATAATAATACTGCTAAACAAAAGGCTGGCTTCCAAATGGAACATAAAATAAAATTCCACTCTGAACAAAAGTACAGAGAATAATCAGAACATGTGCACAGGATGGAAACCAAAGAATATGTATACATGTTTACAATGAATACCAAAAAATATGTATACATGTATACAATGAATACCAAAGAGTATGTATACATGTATGCAATGTATATGCCTAATTGCTTATATTATGCATAATTTAATTATATTGCTTTTGGTTACATTTACTAATTTTCCTCTTTTTGCTTAAACTTATTATTTAAACGCAAGTAGCATTTATTCTGCGTTATTTTATGATGCAAGAATGTCATGGCAGTGGCACCCTCACCTAAGCGAAACTGGGAATGATGTACACAAGTTTCACTAAAATGTATAGTTCCTCTATCTTTCCTTTTGTATATAATAGAAATTTACAAAATAAAATGTGATTGTATTTTTACCTTTATACAATTAGATAGTACTATGAACAACTGAGGTAATTTTGCATGTTCCAGCTCCTTGGATTAAGTCAAGTAGCATGTTCCTCCCACTACCACACATAAAGATATTGTATGTCTTGGTTTTGAATTCTTACCATCTTCTCTAACATAAAGACCTTGTTTTCAAACAAATAGAGTGGTGTAAAGGTGGCATATACAACCATGTGAGGGGACTGTGTTGCCGTGGAACCTGGAAAACAAACATATTGAACCATGAACATTCTTGTCAATGTGAAACTAGGCAGTTACTTTCTCACTGTGGTCTTCTTATGAAAGTGGTAAGAAATAAGGAAGGAGGAGAGGCAAGGACTAGGAAGGAGAAAGGAAAGTAAGTAAGAGAGAGAAAGAAAAATAGAATATATCTGGTATCTTTTTCTCCTTTTATAATGATTAATCTTAGCTACCACCCAAAAAGAATCTCCAAAAACACATTAGAGGTTATGGCTTCAATATATCAACTTAAGAGAGAAACAGTCTCTTCCATGATGTTTTGCTCCTCCATAGACTATATCATCCACGCACATGAATTCCATTCAGCTCAGGACAACGGCACCAAGAGCTTTAACTTAGTTCAGCATCAATCTCAACTGCTACGTCTCACTGAAATCTCTTAACCCACCTCCAGTAAGACTTGAGACTTGACTCAAGTCAAGTCTTCTCTCCTACAGTTCTTTTTTGTTTGTTTGCATACACACAAAAAAAAATTATTCAACTATAAAAAATGAATTTTTTTCCTAGAGTTCTCACATAGCTAGGAGCCTGTGACACTTGACAAAAAATACAATGGAGAGACAAACATCAGACAGGGTAGGCACCCATGTCAGAACAAACACTTAGCAAGGCTAATTACATTGAATCTTAGGCTTGGGAATAGTTTTCTCTTAGGCTGGATTCTCAGCCTGCTGGGCCCACTGCTCCCCTCCAGCCCTCAATGGTGGTCCTATCATCATGGCTTTGGTCAGGGAACCTGTGAGAACATTTTGTAATGGCTGTACCTACAAAGAACCCTTGCAAAGAGGTCTATCTGGCTTTTTGTATGGGTCATATGTGTTACTAAAAGCAGGGAGCAGGGCCTACCCTCTATAAATGAACTGAAAACAGCCTTTCCTCTTGGGGGTCTGGTGAGCTGCAGTTCTGATTGTCTCTGGATCACCTTGAGGAATTACCTGCATATGCACATGCACAGCTAAACAGCTCTCTGGTCCTATCCTGTAGAGTTATAGACCAAGAACCTCTCTTCATCCTATGTGTCTCCTCTAAAATGGCCTCTGTGTGGATAACCCTGTGTCTATCCCAGCCTTCGTGAATTTGACTGATTCGCTCCATAGCGGATGTCTTCCTTATGGGTGGTTTCAACCACAGACTTGATGCCCATTTACAAGCTGAGAGTCCCCCTCAGGTCAGTGTCCAGTGTAACTGCACACAGGTTTCTGCTCTACAAAGCAGTGGAACACAGCACTGGCAATCTCCTTTCCAACTACAACAAGGAGTGCCTTCCCTCCAATTTCCAATCAAATCTTCATTGTATGGAGCTTTTCCATAGCATCTCTCACATGTGGAAGTCTTACCAACCAGCCCTTCAGAGACATTCTTTTGCAACTTGTATCTCAAACTCTTCCAAGCATCCACATTATCACTCAGTTGCAAATTCATCCCCTAAATTCATTCCAAATTCAGTGTTTGTTACACCAGCACATTGTGTCATGGTAAGAGCATCTGTATCAATCCTGTCTCACTTGAGAAACAGAACTGATATGGAAATAGAGTGATTGTTAGGAGTTGGTCCATGTAATTATCACCCAATCTGAAGGGTGAGTCAGCCAGCTGGGGAAGACCCATGAGAAGCAATAGGTTGTTACTGCCTGAAGACAAACAGACTCCAATCCCAAGGAAGGTCAATGTTTTGGTCTGAGCCTATAGGCACTCACGTGAGAAAAGGCACAGCCTCTTCATATTCAGTATTTGCCTGATTGGATAGAATTGTTCACAGGAAACAGTATGAGATGCTTTACTCTGCCTACTTATCTGAATATTAGCATCATCCAAAAAGCATATTCACCCAGTGTTTGCCCAGATTTCTGAGTACCATATGACATGTTAGAGTGGCTAACTTTCATTGACTTTTCCTATGTGTTAAGTGCTACCCTCAGTAAGTTCTCATACAAGTCTATGAAATAAATTGTATGGTATCAGTTCTTTCAGAGAAGGGAACTAAAATTAAGTTAGGTTAATAAGTGTATCTAAGATGCATGTCTGAAAGTGTAAAATGTGAGAAGTGACTGTGAAAGGATGCCTAGTCTTTTTGGTAATGTCTTATTATCAATTATTCTTTATGGCAATAGCTAAAGAGTAGGCTGAACAGGAGGCTTTTCATGTCACTTTTTACCAGAAGGTGTTTGTAATTCCGCAATGCGATGCAAAACTCAACACCAGAAGAATTTTTCTAGCAGGCCTATAATTTCTTAGTTTGATATTATGCATGTGTGAGGGTACTTGCATTATGTGTGCATGTGTCATAAAATTAGAAAAAGGGTGACAAAAAAAGATATTAAGAGATGGGTAGAAAAGAGGATAATGGAACATATGGGACATGAAAGGAGAAGTGGGAATTTTTGAACAAAGGATGGGAACCAACCAGAGGGAGGCAAGGGGTGGTCAGTGACAGGGAGGATGAATGTATATGAATATCATGAGCATCTTAAGGTTTTAGGTCAAGTTATTTGGGTTCAAGAAATAGCCTTCTTCTTAATCTTACAGTTCTTTGATCTTTAACATTGCTCTGAATTTTTTGTTTTTCAATATATTTTGGGATACAGACCATTCTTGCCAGGCTTATCTTTTATTGGCAGTACCTTCCTAAAAGTAAATAGTATAAATTAACACTGTGTGTTAATAGCCACTCTGCCATGTATTTCTAAAATCTAAAACCACCAACTGTATAACCACATTCCAATGTGTAACAGCTTCCAGCTTTGCAGTGGTAATTGTCTAGGTCTTCATAGATGTCAAGCTCGAGATGCTTTCTTCATCGCTAGGCACCCCACTCCTAAGCAGGGCCCACATATCTTCACTTTGTCACTGGCACTCTAACCTTGGCAACCTTTTATATAACACTATAATCATTTTAAGAATTATACAACTTTACAAATGTTGTTGTTTTGCTTCCATATACTATAAAGTGGACATACATGATCCACAGGCAAGTCAACACATAATTTTTCATTGCTTCCCACTCTTTCCACCCATGACTGTGCTCTAAACACTGCCAGGGTAGCAAAAGGAGAATTGTGTATGTGAGCATCCCATAATCAAGCTAGAAGTGAGGCATCTCATTTCTGCTCATGTTACATGGGTTACAGCACAAGCATAGGCTAATTTAACTTTCAAAGAATCTGGGAATATACTGTTCTTAACTGGTGAGAGGAAATTATGGAAGTTTGTAGTGTCTCTCATACTCAGAAATGCCCCCTTATAATAACACCAAGTCATATTCTAGTCCTGCTGAGTTTTGCTCCTTTGCAATAAATTTTAAAACTCTTGCTAGGTTACTAAATCTATGTTACCCTGTAGGTAATAAGTTTATGCCAAAATTACAATATCTAATATTGATGGTAACTTTTTGTCAGATATTAGAAGGGTCTAATGCATTCATATGTTAAAACCTGGATATTTTTCATTAATGTCACAATCTGAATCCAAGCTTCTTTTGAAGTAACATTTTAAATTTACTTGGTCAGGAAATTGTTCAGCATTTAAAGATTCCACTACGAGCAGATATTGAGGGAAAGGATAACACAGTGGTTACAACAGTGAACTCTCAAGATCAACTTCCTGGACTTGCAAACCCACTTCCAACTCAGTTGGAGTTATGCCAAAATACCCCAACCAGGGCCAATGGACTTCCCTTCTGTAGGGACAATGTTCTACACAGGGATTTCTCAAAAGAACTCTATAGTTGGTAATGGTCAGTGACTACAATTCACCCTCTTGTTTCCTTTAATGAATGGGAACTCATATTGCAGCATTCCCATTAAACTCTGTCTTTAACAATACATAAGGGATGAGATGGGGGGGGGTGCAAGTGCATGTCCCAAAGTTTCTGGAACTTTGATGAGAAATGTCAGAGATCAAATAACTGAAAGATTAAGAAGAAGGCTACTTCTTGTCCCCAAATAAACTTGACCTAAAACTTAAAGACACCCATGATATTCATATACACATGTCATATAAATGTCATTCATCCTCCCTCTCACTGACCACTCCTTGCTTCTCTCTGGTCGGTTCCCATCCTTTGTCCAAACACTGCCCCTTCTCCTCACACTTCCCTAAACTAGATGCAATTACTGGATAATTTGGGTCATGGTTTTGTAAAGTACTGAATACACATTCTGGGAAAGGAGGATGAAGTGGAGAGCTAGTGTTCAGGGAAGTAAAATTTGGCAAAGGTTAGCTACTGTCCACCAGAGGGTGCCCTCTTTCTCTAAAATACCTAGCCAAACTGTGTTTCTCCAACTCCCTGTGGGCAACTGCAATTAGTGAGCTACTATCGATAAGTTTGGCCCTTAAAGATCTCAACTGTGATAATCTCACTTATTTTCCCACTTCTGTTGGTAAAGATTTTAGAATCCACATGGCTAAAGGTGTCTGTCTGTTTGAATTATTTATAAGTTACATTCATGAATACATTTATGTTGAAAATAAAAACTGGGGGACCTTTAAAAGTCACATAGTTATTAGCACATAATAGTTTTTAGTAGATATTATAGAAATATAAACATACTCATGTGATTAAAAACATGAATAAATATCTATACAACTTCTGTTACCTTACTTATCTTCTTTATAAAATTTGAAACTATGAATGTTTTTTTTAAATTTTAACTGCTGCTGTGATAAACATAGTAACTTCAGAAAGTTAAGAAAACATAGGTCTTTTATATTAAATTCCCCAGAAATATTTGACAGTATTTCTATTGTCAAATTGAATATAAATAATATAAATATAATATAATATGTCATTCTTCCCCATAGGAATTGGGTCTATAAGTCAGTCATCTTTTTAATACTCAGGGTCCATCGATAACCTGCTATAAATAAAACTAAAGCAGCCAATGAAAGAAAATGCACCTGCAAAATCCACTTAATATCAACTGCATGGAGAAAGAAGGTCTACAGGCACTCTCTTTTTTTGTTAGATGATAACTATCCAGTATTCCGTCTTGGGCACATTTAAGAATTAAAACAGTCTTTGTGAGTAAACTGAAGTATGACATACCAACAGATAAATGGTTGGGACTTTAATTCTTAATTCTGAGAACCCACTTAGATGCTGCTGTAGTGTAACCTGGCTTTAAAGGGGCTTCACTCAGTTCAGTGTTGAAGCAGAGATCTGACATTAGGCAGATCTCACAGCCCAAACCTGAGTCACATCCTGTTTATTCTTAATTTCCTTGTTTTGTTTTGTTTTGATTGGATTTGATTCTTTTGTTTTGGATTGGTTTTGGTATTCTGTTTTGTTTTGAGATGGGTCTAACTGTGTAGCCATGACTGTCCAGGACTCACTATGTAGAACAAGCAGGTCTCAAACTCAGAGATCCACCTGGTTCTGCCTCCAGAGTGCTGGAATTAAAGGCATACAACACTATGCGCAGTTTAACCATGAGTTCTAAGGCAGGAGCGAGGGATGTATTATTGCTTTCACTTTCACAAAGAAAAGGAAAAAAGCAGTGTTTAGTTCATTTTAAAAAATAAAGCATTGTCAAGGGCAATTTTACTTTTCTTTTCATCTCCTACAACATGCAATCCCATCAATTACACAAAGGACCCAAAGTTTGAGTGAAAACTTGAACATGCTTATTTAGATACTTCAAAAGAGAAAATATACTTCTATATCCCAACGTCTTCCATCAACTTATGCAGCGACTAAAATAGTTACTGAAAGAGATTAAGAGCTTACAATCTGACAAGGACTGTACAGAGTACTGAACATCTGATGAGGGTCTCGAACCATGGAGTGAAAATTTGAATTTTTCCTTCTCCTTCTCTCCATCCTTAATCTTCTTCTTCCAAAGGTCTTTTGAATCAGTTTTCTCTGACACACACACACACACACAAAAAAAAAAAAAAAAAACCAGAGTAAATCTTTTATCTAAAAAAATCTCAGAGCATGCTACATATTCAGCCAGTGGGTCCTAAAGAAAGCCAAAATTAGCACTAAATGTAAAACTGTAGCCTTGATTTCTCTCAAAATGTAATCACCTCTGATTAAAATATCACAGTAATGCTAGAGAAAATAATATTAAAAATTAACATGAGCTGTGAAAGCAGGGTAGAATTTTTTTAGTATTATATGCATAATAACTAAATTATTACAGTTTTATGTTATACGAAGATAGTGGCTTGAATGTGTGCATGGGTACATTTGGTGCATACGCAGAGAATGGCACAGGAGGATTTGAGGCTCCCTCCTCTCACTTTCTGTCCTATACCCATGAGACAGGGTCTCTTTCTCTCACTGAACATGGATCCTACTGTTTCTGCTAGACTCATTGGCTAGTAAATTCCATAAATCTTCCTGTCGCTGCCCTCAACAGCTCTAGGGTTACAGGGCAGCCCATGCTTCTTGCATGGCTGCTGGGGATCAGATTCAGGTCCTCATGCTTTGCAGAAAGTGCTCTGAACCTGGAGGCTATCTCCAGCCCCTTGAATATATTTTATTTATATATAATCATGTACTGCTAATTTCCTCATTTTAAAAATTAAAACAAAGAAAACCAGCAAAACATGCATTGAATGTTTAGTCTTATCTATATAGGGCTTTCTCAATCTTCTCTACTTGGGGCATTAAAAAAAAAATACCATTTTCTTTCAGTAAAACATCCTTTTGTGGGACTGAAATCAAACAATACCCAATGGCCTGTTTTCAGAATGGCTTGCACAATAAACCATTTACCAAGCTGTCCTCACCATTTGAATTCTCACTTATCAGCATAGTTCCTTGAAAGACTATATCTTTTAATTTAAAACTGTCAAGATTTTTTTCTTGCCTAATGAATCCCCTTCAATTCAGAGTGTGGATTCAGATTCTCTGTATCAACTGCTAAATTTATAAGCTTCATTGTTCTCCTGTTCAATTTTAAAAAAATATGTGCAGTTATTAAAATTATCTGAACTACTTATGGTGTCCGTTAGCACTGAAAATAAGCCTAACCTGTCTCATAGTGTTTGAAGTAAATTTTAAATGTATGTTAGATATAAAGGCAAATATAAGAATAACTTCAAATATAGTCTGAGATGTTTAACTGATAAATTACAAGTATTAAAGCTAGATTAACAAAACTCTATTTTGTATAAATATCAACTTAATTCATCTAATTTTGTGTAGCGGTAAATGAAATTGTGACTTTGTTTACAATTTTAAAGCTGAACTTTACTTTCAAACTCCTGTTTAGAATTTGATTTATAATATATCTCATATAAACATGTAACTAGAAAAACAATTGGGTTATTTAAATATTTACCACTAGACTAATGTGTTATCTGTCATTTAATTACACAATTATGGAAAACCCCACTATTAACAACTTGACAGCTGAACGCTACTAGACATTATTTTTCCCCACCTAGTCCCACAAACCTCAAAATCTTGCTGTTAAATTTCCACCAAGTCCCTATTTTTCATCTCAACCTCAGTCTAAGCTAGTGGCTAGGCTTCCTAGAAACAGAAAATATTCAAATCCGTTTGTCAGGAAACCAAACCAAAGCTTGTCTACGTAACTACACCTGCATCCATTTATCCCATCGCCCCATGACCTATGCCTGCCCATTAGATTGGAGGAGCTATGGTTTCCCGGGGCTGTGGAAAACTCAACAGTTCTACTCAGTGACTGGGAGGATCTATCATAAATGGTGTCAGTTTCCTGAGAAAAAGGGCACACTGGATCCACAACTCACTGGAGGGCCACCCTGTAGAACTGTTGCAGTCTCCCTCATTAGATTAACAACTAGATATTCTGTGTATCGCACAGTAATCACTATCAGCTTCCATTTTATTACTCTGTTGTTCTTCAAGGGCAAACATGATCTACAACATGCAATCTGATCACTCCTGCATAAACCCAACTCTTCTTGAACCAATAACCCTTCCACACTGCTTCACCTACATGCGGTAAACCATGCCCTCCAATACACTGCTGTCCTCCACATGTTTCCTAATATCCATGCCCGCTTTCTCCTCTGCCACCAGTGTTCTGGCTACAGCCATCTTTTCTGTCTGGATTACTCCCATTCATTTTTGCAGGCTGTAACAGACCCCTGTGCTTACTGCTGTAGCTTCCTGTATTTCCTTTTAAAGTTCATGTTTTAGTCTCCGGTTAGCATAGCTTCCTTTTTATTAGTCAGTGTTTCCCACTAGAGCATTAGGTTCAGAATGCTTGTTGTTCCATATCTCTTTCTGTTTACCAAGATTATCAACAATTCCTAAAAATGTACCAGTGCTTGTATAAGCAAAGGGTATATTTAGATGAATATTAATGTCTGGATGCCTGGATGTTCATTTGCGAAACATCAAAAAGAGTTTCTAGAAGAAAATTAATTGGGAATATACTAAAAAAAAAAAAAAAACTAAATTAAACAAAACAAAACAAAAAAAAACCCTTCTATTTCTTTATTTGCTTATTTTCAGCAAGATAGGCTTCTTTGGGTACACATTGTTCACACTTCTAATCTTGATACATGTTTGGAGATCTGAAATAAATTTTTCTGTATACTATGGTAAGAAATACTGGCAGTTATGGTCTATTCTTAATATATATATATATGCCTTTTCAGAGCTGGTAATCAAACACTTGCCTATGCTAGGCAAGTGTTATGCCACTGAGTTACAAGCTTTGGATTTGCCCAAGCTGGCTACAATTTGTGACCCTCCTGTCTCTCCCTCTCAGTTTAAAAACAACCTTCATACAGAGTAATTCTGACAAAATGTTAATATGTTATAAAACATGTTATAAAACATATATAAAACATATTTGAAAGAACATTTTAGATACTACCAAAATATACAGAAAAACCTGAGTCTTTCCTAGTAGATTTAATTCTATTTCATCAGCAGTTTCTTCATTCACATAGTTATAAAATAGTTCAGTAAACACAGAATAATTATTCAATCAACTTTTCATCTTGAAAATAGAAAAGACTATATACTTTGTAAAAAAATAATTTGAAATATTTTTCAGATTTGAACCTCCATCTTACTTTTCAAATGTATGTATCCTATGCTCATACTCCAGTCTCTTAAAAATACAAAGTAAGTTTTCTATTTTGTTGTGTGAGGCCATCCCACTCTGCATATAAATATGAGAAAGATATTGTAGCAAAGATTTAGGCTGCAGTATCTTGTCTCCTTGTAATACAGCAGTAATTTAATATCACCAAAAATGTGAATTGCCTTTGCTATTTACTAAGAGGGAGCTATGAGACAGTAACTACCTACAGTCCACACCATTGAGAGTTCTGAAATAAAAGGAGAGTTAAGATATAGTAGCAATATTTTAAAAAGCATCAGTGCCCTCAACAGGAACGGTAAAGTATCTCTATGCCATGCCTTGTGGGATGACTTCCAATGCCTTACCCTTTGGAGCTTTGTCGCCTTTCTCTGGAGTCTTCAGCAATGTAAGGGAACTTTCCGGTTTGAAATCCTTCACATCTTTCACTTCCTTGCCATCTTTCACTTCCTTGCCATCCTTGGTCTCTTTCACGGGTTCCTTCAGTTTGTTATCTAGCACTGTGAATTTGCTTTCAGAAGTGGGCTCTTCCGTGAGCTTAAACTCAGGAAGGATTTCCTTCAAGAGCTCCCAAACTCTGTCCACATACCCAGGACTTAGAGCAAATACATTTGTGTTAGTCCCCAGATGACGTCAAGAAGTTAGTGACAAACTAACTTCTTAGCTCATAAGACCAATTTCAATTGTTACCTAATTTCAATTGTTACTAATATCAATTGTTAATTTTAGTTAGAAATATTATTCATTGACCATGATTTTATTGCACTTCTACTATGTGTCAGGCTTTGATGATACCAAGATCAAAACTAGAGGATAAGTCAAGCTGGCAGAAGGGACAGGCATGCTAAAACAAGTGAAATATATACATATGTGTATATGCTATATGCGATTACATGCAACACATCCATATATGCTATATATGTTGTACCTGTGTATATGCTGTATGTCTATATATGTTATACATGCATAAATTCCATGTGTACAAAGGCATCCTCCTGAGTAGAATTTTCCAATGATATCCTCACCCTCTGAAGATGGTGGGAGAATTTTTAACATGATATCGAAGGCCTTTAGCTAATAAGGCTCCTCTCTAGTTCCTCTCTCACTGGTGCTCTAGAATTGGCTAGCATATCTAACACACTTTTCTGGGATTATACTTCCTTGTTATTCTGTCTGCTCTGAGTTGATTTTTCCCACACTAATCAACTACATTCATTTCAGCTAACCCTTTGAAACCAGTGTAAGCATCAGTTGCAGGGATGGGGCAAGTAAGCTACATGCTTCTGCTCTGAGAGCCTGAAGGGTTATGACACACTTTTAGAAAGCCTTTGAAAATACCTTATACATTACTAACTCAGCTCACATATACCGACTGAGGACACACTCTGTGACAGTGATTTGGAGTCACTGTGCTAAGTACAGTAGGCAAAGAATGATCACTGAAGACAACTGTGGACTGGATGGGGCTCCAGACCACATCAGAATGTCCTTCAGGGCAAGCTGTATTAATCTGTCCTCTCAGGGTATCTATTTGCATTCCCATGACTGCCACCTGTAACAACTCAAAGTCTTTTTTCCATTTTCTTGTCTCTTCCCTCACTATACACCCTTCTTTCCTGAAGATGCTGTACAAGCTTAGGTTCAGAGCTATCTATTTAACTACTTGGATTCTCCCAGTATATGTGAACCATACCTGTCAAAAAATTATACTTCCTACAGAAGAGGAGGGGCTGAGCTTTGATCACAGACTAAGGGCAAGCTCAGTGGAGGATGGCATTGCTGTGACAGACTGCATAAAGGTATATGCATAAAGACTCACATAGGCTTGTATGGCCTATGTGAGGATGCTCCAATGGAGCACTGCTTTACAGTAATTATGCACTTCCACCTCCAGCATCTGGGACACAATGGCATTTTGAGTTGCACTTCAAGGAGCAGAATTGAAGAAAAGCTTGTCTGTGCCACATGGCAGACTTGCCTTCTATGTGCTAGGTGAATCTTGCAGGTAGATAAACACAAACAGATTTTGCTCGGCTGTATGTTTTATGACTAATCTTGATTCAAAAAGCAATCTAGTGGGTTATTCTGCTTTACAAGGAAGAATAATCTACCCTAAAATTCCCATGGAATTTGAAATACTATAAAATGTTATGCTATGAAACATTTTATAAAACATGATCATTCTTAAAATGTTCTTAAAGAATATCTTACAGAAAGGTCGGAAAGAAAGAAATAATACAAGCAACTTAATCTTTAAATCTACTGAAGAAAGGCTGATGAGCTAGCTCAGTGGGTAGAAGGTGCTTGCTGTTCTGCCTGATGACCTGAATTTGATCCCTGTAACCATCCTCTGACTTCCACATGTATACCTTGGCACACCACTCCCTACCCTGATAGATAGATAGATAGATAGATAGATAGATAGATAGATAGATAGATAGATAGATAGATAGAATAAATAAATAAATAATAAATGTTTCTTTAATAAACTTACTGAAGAGGAATGACTTCAGGTAACCACCCGGTAAGTGCATGGATAACTGTGAATTCTCCTAGCTCTCTCCTCTTTGCTACATGAATACTGGAAAAAGGAAAAAAAGAGCATTGTGCTGTAGTTATCAATGTTTGCAAACAGAACAAAAAAATAATTAGAAACACTCTATACAGCATCGTAGTAATCAAAGTAATACCGGCCACATGTCACAGTGCAAAGGAATGTTATCTCACAAGTCAGATGCTTTAAGTTGTTAAAAATGCCTAACTATACACAATATTAAACTTCAAATGTATTTCAAAATTTTGTTTTTATTGTTTTCTTTGACAAGGGAGTCACATTTTAGGAACTGTATCTTTAAAAGCTCTAACATTTTCATTAATTTCCTAAACATATTCATATTCATAAAACCTTCATATTTTGTAGTATAATGCTGTTCATTTGTTTATTATACTCTGTGTGACTCTGTTCTTTTCAAAGTGGAGAGGTGTCAGCATTCCAATTGCAGAGGTTATGTTGAACTCTTCCCAAGGCTGTGTGCACTCAGCCTCTTGCATAGCAACTCAAGGCAAGCCCGAGGGGTCCTTTTTGAAACTTTGACAATGGAAGAGAAACCAGAACTATCTGGTCCATCCTGTAAAAGAGCAGACCTGGCAGTGTGCCACAGAGTCAGAGGTTGCCATTAACCAGATACCTTGCTCTGTGTTGGTCCTTCTGCCTATATGGTCTTTGCCTGGCTGGCCAGTGTTAACATGTGCATTAATTAGTCTATGTAGAGAAATGCCATGACCCTTCTACCCCAGAGAAGACACACGTTAACCCTGTGCTAGGTATGGTGTTAACATTGGTGACTGACATCTTTTTCTTGGAAAGAAGTCATAGCATGTCAGTGAGGTAGCCTGCTGTTTATGGATTTGCACTGGCTTATTTAATAGATTATGAATTCTGGTGACTCTACATTTCTCTTAGACAACACAAATCTGGTCTGTAGTTCACTGTATCCCCTAAACACCTCTGGTAATTTCATTTTATGAGTGACATTGAAAGCCTTATGGAAATGATGCTCTTTTCTCTCCATATTCCATGTGGGCATGTAAATCACCACAATGCATTAGGTTTGTCTGTAAAATGCTAAACCGCATATATAAAGTCAAATCTGAAGTGAATTTATAGAAAAATTTAAATGATGTCATATAAGTTAGGCTCCCTTAGAAATCTTTAAAAATGCACTATACTTTAATTAGTCTTTCATTTTTCAAGCTGGCTTTGTTTACTTTTTAAAAATTCTCTATTAGTCATGTTCTAAATGAATTCCATTGGACCATGGCTTTACAACAAATGAAATGTTATTGCAGCTATCCAGGTCATCTATTCAATACTTTGCCAGCCTGGCAGCTCCAATTCTTAGGAACACTAAGAGCGTTATACTTATTTTCCCCAACTAATAGACATAACTGCCACCAGTGAAAATACTAAACAACATATATATACCTAAAAGGAAAAACAAAAACAAAAACAAAACAAAACAAAACAAAAAAAAAAAAACAGGCAAGTTTCTTCAAAAACCACTGAAATGTAGGACTGAAAACCGAGTGAAACAAATTATCAGTAGAAATTGAGGGCTAGAGAGAAAAACGAGGAGGTGGTGGCTGACAAGAGTGGTGGCCATTTTATTATGCAGCCTTGAGAGCAGAAAAGGAAGCAAAGTCAAAAGACTATCCAGACAATGCAGCCCTGCCTTCCGAATGGTGTTGCTAATGCTTTTTAGAGAAGGGGAGGGGCTGAACTTTTGAGCAGGGGCCTAACCCGAGCTGCTGAACAGGAAAGCAAGCTCTGTGGAGGATGGAGTTGCTATGGCACACTGCAGGAAGCTATGGGATTGGGCTGTGAACTGTGTGTTAGGACGTGCAGTTGCCATGCGCATCTAACTCTAGGATCTGAGCCTTGGTCTCACATTGAGTTGGTCCTGAAAGAACCGAAATGGGAGAAAGGCTTGTCTGTAGGACATGGCAGACTTCTATGTTGGGTGCAAGGGTCTTGCAGGCAGATAAATATAAACAGATTTTGCAAACATCTGAAACAAATGAATAGCTTTCATCATGACGATATCAGGTGGCCATAGTATCAAAAGCTTGAAGAGCACTTGGGAATCCTTCTGAAGAGCTTGGGTCTTTTTAAGGTTTATACAGCATAGCTGCAAATATAGATTCTAAAAAATTAAATGGATCTTAGTAAACATTATAGCATTTAAATGATTTACTAGTTTCCCCTAAGAAACAATTTCTCTCCTTTACATGAAACACATACTATACGTCCCACTCCTGGTAAGCAAGCACTGATTGCAGAAGGGCTTCTGAGTGTTCTCTCCTGGCATGGTTTTGTCTTTACTCAGTTAAGACAATACTTCAAATCAGTGCTTTGGTCACATTAACTTCTATACGTGAAAGTGTACATTGTTCAGAAAGAAAGATTTCCTTGAATTAATTTGTTAAAAAGTTTCAGCATGGATGTAGTTGCCCTGTTAGTTTCATACAAATAAGTGATAATTTCTCATTACATACTCAACATTTGCCAGCTTAATGATAGCTTTTGACAGTAGCATTGGCCAGAGCTCAAACTCATACGATGTACATGGAAGCAATAGATGGTTATCCTCGTCAAATGGAAGGAAGTCATCAATAGTTATCTTCCTCCAGCAACCCTAAAGATGAGAAGAAAGCAGTGTAATGTCATAAGTGATGTATGATGTTCTCCCCCTCAAACATTACTACATATTTCTGCATACTTTAACTTTTGTGTAAAAAAAAAACTGATGTTAATATTTTATGTTAGAAAACTGAGATATAGGATTCAGAATTAATCTGATTAACTACTTTAGCTTCTAAAATATATTATTATAGCGTATCTATGGTGCTATCTATATTGTACCTTCTTTTGGAGGTCTTATGAGCATATAACGAAGTAAATATGTTTCAAACAGCAGAATGAAAACCTGATTCAACCAAAATTAGATTGAGCATAATATACTCTGCATGTTCATAGTACAAGTTCTTTAAATAGAACTTTAATTATTACTGCTGACCCAGACATATGCTTCCTAATCTGGTACTTCCAATCCCCACATTTTGAGCACTCATAGTTAATTACCTAAATTGAAGTAATATTTTCCTTAATCAAACCATTATATGTTTAAATAAAAGCTCTTCATTTCATAATTAAAAGCATGAAGCAATTTATCTCAAATGATGATTTTTTTTTGTTTTAGCTTACATGCTTAGATTTCTTATGAATTCATTCTTGTGCTAACAAATATTTTCAGTAGTAACATCAAGGAAGTACTGCCCCATACTATTCATGAAACATGGCTAGGGCTATTGCTCTTAAATGCTTATGATATAGTGGGGGAAGGCCCATGTATAAAACAATATAAAACATAGTATGTTTAAAACACTCTAGGACCACAGGAAAAAGGCAACTCATTTTGTTAGAGGGAAGTCATAAGAAAGTGACGTTTGAAGTGCTTTTCTTCTATGGTACTTGTAATTCTGAATTCAGTCTTTCCTCATTTAGTAGCTTATATCTGTCTCTTTTCTTTCTCAATAGATGATGCAGGGCAAGACAGGTTAAAGTTACAGGGTAGAGGCACCCCCACTCTTGTAACTTTAAGTGAAATAACAACAATAAATCTACAAAAAATATGGTAGATACAAGACCAGTGCTTCATCCATTTAAGGTACCTTAAAAAATGCAGACTCCTTGAAAAACCAACCATCAACTTCATACAGAAAAATACAAGATCCAGGATAGTTAAAACAATTCTGTAAAATAAAAGAACTTCTAGAGGTATCACCATCCTTGATTATAAGCTGTAATACATAGCAATAGTAATAAAAACCCACATGATACAGATAAAAAAAAAACAGACAGATTGATCAATGGAATCAAATCAAAGATCCAGAAATAAACCCACACAGCTAAGGACACCTCATTTTTGACAAAGATGCCAGCATCACACAATAGAAAAAAAGAAAGCATCTTCAACAAATGGTGCTGGTCTAACTGGTTGTCTGCATGTAGAAGAATGCAAAGAGATCCATGCATAAAACTGAACTCCAAGTGAATCAAAGACATCAACATAAAACTGGATACACTAAATCTATTAGAAGAGAAAGTGGGGAATAGCCTTGAACTCATTGGCACAGGAGACAACTTCCTGAACAGAACACCAACAGCTCAGGCACTAAGATCAGCAATTAATAAATGGAACTGAAAAGCTTCTGTAAGGCAAAAGGCACTGTCAATAGAACAAAATGACAGTCTACAAATTGGGAAAGGATCTTCACCAACCCTACATCTGACAGAGGACTAATATCCAAAATATATAAAGAACTCAAGAAATTAAACAGCAGCAAACCAAATTACCCAATTAAAAAATTGTGTACAGAGCTAAACAGAGAATTCTCAACAGAGGAATCTCTAATGGCAGAGAGGCAATTAAAGAAATGTTCAAGTCCTTAGTCATCAGGGAAATGCAAATCAAAATGACTCTAAGAGTCCATCTTACACCCATCAGAATGGCTAAGATTAAAAATTCAAATGACAGCACATACTCGCGAGGATGTGGAGCAAGGGGAACACTTCTACATTCTCGGTGGGAGTGCAACCTTGTACAGCCACCTTGGAAATCAATCTGGAGGTGTCTCAGAAAAATGGGAATAGATTTACCTCAAAACCCAGCTATACCACTCCTGATCATATACCCAAATAGCGTTCCACTGTACCAGAAGGACACTTATTCAATTATGTTCATAGCAGTTTTATTCATAATAGCCAGAAACTGTAAACAGCCTACATGTCCCTCAACTAAAGAATGGTTAGAAAATAAATGTGGTACGTTTACACAATGAAATACTACTCAGCTATTAAAAACAAAGACATCTTGCAATTTGCAGGCAAATGGATGGAACTTGAAAAGATCATCCTGAGTGAGGTAACCCAAACTCAGAAAGCTACCCATGGTATGTACTCAGTTATATATAGACATAGTCAGAGACTACAGGATAACCACACCACAATCCACAGACTCAAAGAAGCCAAGGAGGTCCCAAGGGAGTATCACTAAATCTCACTCAAAATAGGAAATAAAATAGACATCTGAACTTGATTGAAGAAGGGACCCATGTGGAAGACAATGGGGTGGGGAGGCTATCAGGGGTGAGGATCTGGTGTGGAGAAAGAGGGGATTGACCTGGAGAGAGAGAGAGAAAGAGAGAGAGAGAGAGAGAGAGAGAGAGAACAGAAATAGGCGGGAGAGCATCTCTTGGACAGGGGAGGCCTCCAGGAGTGTATGGGGTAACCCTAGCTGAGAGTCCTAACAGTGTGGGATATGAAACCTGAACTTGTCACCTCTTGTAGCTAGGAGGGACTTTCGGTGAAGAGAGGGGAACATCAACCCACCCATAAAACCTTCAACCTAAAATTTTTCCTGTCTGAAAGATGTGCAGGGATAAAGATAGAGCAGAAATTGAAGGAAAGGCAAACCAATGACTGGCCCAACTTTAGACCCACCCCAAGGGAAGGAGCCAATCCCTTACACTAGTAATGATACTCTGCTATGCTTGCTGACAGGAGCCTAGCAAAACTGAGTTCTGAGAGCCTTCATGAAATAGCTGATAGAAACAGATGCGGAGACCCACAGCCAAACAATAGGGCAAGCTCAGATAGTTTTGTGGACGAGTTAGGGGTAAACTGACCTGGGTAACCAGAGCAAACTAACGTGGACCCATGAGGGCTCACAGAGACTGAACCACTACCAAAGAGCTTGCATGGGCCGGAACTAGACCCCTACACATACGTAGCAGATGTGCAGCGTGGTCATCATGTGGGTCCCCTAACAGGTGGAGCAGGGGCTCTCTCTGACTCTGTTGCCTGCCTTTGGATCCCTTTCCCCTAGCTGGGCTGCCTTGTCAAAACTCAGTGAGAAAGGGTATGCTTAGTCTTGCTGTGACTTGAGGCGCCAGACTGAGTTAGTACCCTATGCAGACCTCCCCTTCTCTGAGAAGGAGAGGGGGAGTGTGAAAAGGGGATGGAAGATCAGGACTGGGAGGAGAAGGGGGAGAAGGCTGGGATCAAGTTGTAAAATAATTTTTAAAAAATGATAACTAGGTTCTGAAAAAGAAAAAGGCAAATTCACTGGGGTGGTTAATTTTAACTGTTAACTCAGCACAACTTAGAATCACATGGAAAGAGGGTCTTACAGGGGCACTGTCTAGATCAGGCTGGCCTGTGAGAAACTTTGACTTTTGGGGTTGACTGGGGTGGAAATACCCATTCTGAAAGTGGTCAATACCCTTTCCTGGTTTGGACCCTGGAGTGTAAATAGAGCAGTGTACCTGAGCACGAAGCCTGTCCACATTTGTTTCGTTCAGCTCTGCACTGTGGATGTGATGAGCTTTGAGGACCTGCTCTGGCTTGCCTACAGTGATAAACTATAATCCAAAATAACTGTAAGGCAATGAAACCCTTCCTTTCCTATGTTCCTTTTGCCAGGAAAATTTATTACAACAGAAATGAGATTAGGACAGTCATCAGAGATAGAAAATGGTCACCAAGGGGCACAGTGGAGAAGAATAGAAAGCCAGCATTTACTGAGTATAAAGCTTCTGCTTCTTATGATGAGAAATTTGGGGGAAAAGTAGTGATGGTTTCACAAACTAAAGATACTTAACAAAACTTAATTCTACCATTAAGTGGTTAAAATGGTGTGTTAAAATTGGCATATGTTGCTACAATAAAAAATAGCCATGGTAGGTGCCCTCTCATATTTTGATTGCAAACCGTGTTTCAGAGTGCGCAACCAGATTCCCATGAATGAAGAATTTGAAACTATCTATACTAAAACAGTTCAACAACTACCCTCTCTTGCCAGATGTTCAAAATGAACATTTTCACATTCATAATGGAGTAATTTCATATGCAAAAATATTTAAGAAAAGACTTCATTCTATTGAGCAAGACATACACATAAAAATAGACATGTGTACCCTTGTTTGTATAGGTAAAACAGTGATCATAACCTAAGCATATGTTAATGGAAATTAAATATAAATGTGCATGCATTTTTATATGTCCATAGATTAGTGTACAGAACACACGAGAAAATGTCAGCATACAAAATGCCCATGATTAGTAAAGTGGGCAGTTACAAAACTATATTATTTGACCATTCTGGTATCCAGTAAAAGAAATATACATGAATCATTGCCTGTGATTGCATAGATAGGCTAAAATTACAAAGAACTCTGATTTTCTACATGGAATATGTTAATAGCATTTGAATTTGCCTGCTAAAAGCATATAATAATAATAATAATAATAATAATAATAATAATAACAATAACAATAATAAAATTTAAACAGCATTTCATTGGGGCGAAATAGTAACTGAGTAATAGAAAAATAATTTATCATTGTCATTGTTTTATATCTTGAAAGTATTGTTCAATAAATTTAATTAATGGAGATATTATTGAGAATTTATTTAAAAAGCAGGATTGTAAGTGTTGCTTGGTAGCTGATACCAGCTATCTCAGCAGATGGGAGGCGAGAACAGGACAGTCCAAGGCCATCCTACATTGTGAGTTCAAGGCCAACCGTGCAAATGAGACCCAGTCTCCAAAACAACATAGCAGAAGGTGGATTCAGGAAGCCAAGGAAATGGGGAGTGAGACATGGGAAGCAGGGAGTTGAAATGCCCACATGTTTGTGCTGGTGTTTTGCTGTACCCCACAGTCTAAGAAGCTCTAACTTAGGTACTAATCATGTGAATGAAAATATAAAGCTCAGTGAAGCATAAAAACAAAAGCATTTTTCACATATATACATTGATAACAACTGGGGTGAAATTACTGGTCTCTTTATATGTGTTATCTGTTTATTAGAGGGAGATAAAAGGACAGAGACTGAGGGAGGCTGCCCACAACATTTTGTATTTCAAGTAGGGAACAACAGCTAAATTGCTTCTTTCTCTCCTCTTGCGAGCCAAAGCAATATGGAAATTGAAAAGTACTTGGAAAGATGTTTTGTGTTCCTTCATCCTGTCATTACAGCCAGATGGAATGGGAAACCAACCTCTCTCCTTTATGTACCATTCCTAGTGAGACCCAATACATTGTCTATCGGCTGATGTCAAAAAAAAACCTTGTACAAGTAGCTGGGAATCCAGGCTGAACATAATGTGAATACTTTCCTGAGAAATAATATTCTGGTGTGAAAATCACAATTACTTATTTCATGTGACAGTACTGGACCTAGAACTTCATAATTAGGCAAACACTCCACCATTTAGCCTGTATGCTAAACTGGGGTTTTGTTGTTTTTGTTTGTTTTAGCTCTTTATTTTGAGAAAGGGTCTCACTAAAGAGCCCATGCTGGCCTTGAACCTAATCTGTAGCCCAGAAAGGCCTTGAACTTCAGGACCTCCTGATTTAGCCTCTTGAATTTTGGGGATTTCAGGCCTGTATCACTAAAGACAGTTTAAAAAAATCATTATTAGAGGTCCTGAGGAAATGGGGTGCCTCTAAAAAGTAATAAAGGAAAAGGTTCTGATAGACCCATGAAAAGAAGGAAAGGAATCTCTTTAACAAGATAGGAAAATGAAATGGCTCTAGAGTAAAAAGAAAGCATTATAGTAGAGAGGAGAGAGCAAAGAGGGAACAGCAATGGAGGGCAAAAGCATGTTTGCAGCAGATCACACTGAATCAACAGAAGGGAGCCAGTTGTGTTTTTAGAAACATGCTTTCTAAATCTTTGCAGGTTAAGCAAAGGATAGATAAGAATGAGTACAGCATGAGAACTGGAGAAGAAATTTCAAAATCAAAACAAAAAAGGTTTGTGTCTGGAAATGGACAAGAATGAGAGGGTTGGGTGTGCATATCTTGTCGGAAATAATTTACTTGAATTCTTTACTAACGGTAATGCGCGAGTACACACACACACACACACACACACACACACACACACACACACAGGTGTGGATGGAGCCCTCCAGGCTGGGGGTTGCTTAGAAAGAGGTAAAAGTTCTTCTCCTAGTTGAGAGACAGGAGATTTCTATCAACTGGAAAACCAGTAGCCACCAATCCATCATATGCTGGCAAAAATAGCCCACCTGGGAAGTGTTGTGTTTTAGCAATTGCTTGCTAAGCAGCAGCCCTACAAGGGGCTCCTTGGATGAGACCACTGAAGAACCAATGAAAATCATTGAATTCCACCTTCAATCTGGCTGCACAGCTACCCTACTCACAATCTCCCACAGAAGGCTAAGCCTCCCAGAGAACATCTGAGATTACACAAGCAGACTAAATATAGTGGGATTTTTTGTTTTGTTTTATTTTGTTTTTGTAAATTCTGGTTTCTTATTTTATAGGAAGGATAAATGAACTCTAATACACAGCAGGTCTAATGACTTACCATCCAGTAAAGCTTTACAACATATTTCCCGTAGCTGTTAAACAAAGGCATATGGCCCTTCACGGCTTTGCAGAGAGAATATATGTGTTCCCAGGGTTTCCAGAGCAGAATAGGAAGCTCTGCTGAGTTTCCTTTATAGTAACTGTTCAGAATCCCTCCATTGAATATCTTCCACACAGCATAGATTTCACTGATAATCCACCGCATAAGCTGAACACAAAGCAACAAGAGCCACTAGTGTTGACAGGTTACTTTAAAATGATACTGCAGTTTTAAGTGAAATATAATAAAACTATGTTTCTAAGAGTAATAAATTTTACAAGTAGTATATTCATCTTTTTATTTCAAAGTTACAGAAAAAACCATAGGTCTTATTTTCATTCTGTAGAGTAGCAATATAAATTAAAATATCTAAAAAAGTTGACTTGGAGCTTATTTTGAGTTAGCCGAGTGCATGTGTTTACATATATACATATATATGCATATATATGCGTGTGTATGTATATACATGCACATACATATACATACACATGCACACACAGTACACACAATGTATGAGATGAGGCACAGCTAACTGCTTCAGAGAACAGCAAAAAATTTTAAAACTAAGTAAGCCAAACTGGTTGATCTTAACTGTTCTCACCATACAAGCACATATTTTTGATCTGATGAATAGTCCATTGTATTAAATCACTAAAATTACATACTGTAGATACAATTTTTAATTGACAGCTATACTTCATTGAAGTTGAGGGAAGAACAAAAACCATTCAGTTGTACCAGGACTTCCAGGTGAGCAATGGTGAGTGCCAATGGCAATTCAGAAGCTGTTTATGTAGATAGGCCTAGAAGCAATTCTTCATTGGAGTGGACCCTGTGGTCTACCTACCTCACTGCAGAGTAAATGTTCATTTGGTGAAAACAAATCAAACGTGATTTCATTTTTCACAACTACAGGAGGCTGAAATTTAAAGAGACATATATTTATTTGTTTAAAAAAGTAAAAGAAATCTAACTTATTAAAACTACAGTTTTGTGGGAGAAACCGCTTTCTCTGGGGAAGAACACACAAATTGGTTATACCATAAGTTCTGAATGATATAATCCACTCCAGAATGTTACAGATCACCACACTGTATTAAGGCAATGAAGAGCATGGTAAATCTTCTAGCAGGCTAACCAAGAGCAAGCTAATCCCTGGGAAAACACTTGTGGCCAGACAAAGCCAGATTAGAGTTTTTACAGTCAAAGCCTGAGAGTACATCACACTAGGTCCCCAGCTCTTACAATGTAATTTTTGATCTTATAAAACATCACACAAGGCCACTCCTCCAGAGGAATCAAACCTTTGTACGCATCAGGACCCCTTCTCAGCAGGCAAGAAGGGCCCTTTTTGGTGTTGTAAAAAATAAACCCTGCTATCAAGAAGAGTGAACAGCCATTTGTTTACAGGCAAATGTAACTCCCATGAGGAGAAGCTGGGGCTAGGGCAACCTGACTTACCTTTTATATATATATAAATTTATTTGTTTATTTATTTATTTATTTCAGTTTATTCATTTTGTATCCCAGCTGTAGCCCCCTCTCTCATCCCCTTCCACTCCCACTTTTCCTCCCTCTTCTCCTCTCATGTCCCCCAGTCCACTGATAAGGAAGGTCCTTCTCCCTTTCCATTCCCCTTCCATTGGAAGAGGGAGAAAACAGGGAACAGGTCAGGAGCCTACCACAGAGGGCCTCTGAAAGACTCTACTCTGCAGGGTATCAAAGCAGATGCTGAAACTCATAGCCAAACTTTGGGCAGAGTGTAGGGAATCTTATGAAAGAAGGTGGAGACAGAAAGACCTGGAGGGGACAGAAGCTTCACGAGGAGAGCAACAGAACCAAAAACTCTGGGCACAGGGGTCTTTTCTGAGACTAATACTCCAACCAAGGACCATGCATGGAGATAACCTAGAACCCCTGCACAAGATGTAGCTCATGGCAGCTCAGTGTCCAAGTGGGTTTCCTAATAATGGGAACAGAGACTATCTCTGACAAGAACTCAGTGGTTGGCTCTTTGATCACCTCCCCCTGAGGGGAGGAGCAGCCTTACCAGGCCACAGAGGAAGACAATGCAGACAGTCCTGATGAGACATGACTTTTCTTAAACTACTGCACTGAAAAGCATACATAGGAGTAACATTATACATATTCAGCTGGTTATATATGTTATATTTAGGAATAACATATATACATATATGTCTATGCATATAACAGCAATTAATGAAAAGAAGGGTATGTGGAAATGTTTAGAGAGAGTAAAGGGAAAGGTGAAAAGAAAAGAAGGTTAGTTGGAGGGAAGGAAAGTATCATATACCAAATCTCATATGAAGTTATTATTTTTTGAGTTTTTTTTCTCATTGTTTCAACCTTACTTATGAGTATACTTAGTGGCTTACTGTGAGTCTATATATCAAATCTTAAAACCCTATTCTAGAGATTTCTTTAGTTAGACTTTCACTTCTGGAAGCTTTGTGTCACTCCATTCTAGCATGATCTATCTACAGAGGAACCTGTGTGGGGGACCAACCAGCAGCAGTGTGCAGGCTCATGGCATCTTAGGATGTGGGGGTGGAGAGGTTATCTGCAAATACTGAATTTATTTTTAATACAAATGTAACTCTTAGACCCAATGTTTACTAAAAAGGAAAGAAGATTCTTCACAAAACATCTGTTTAGCCAATTTATAAAAGCATCTTATTGTGTAGAACAACAATGATGAATTTGTGGTAAGCAGACTAAGAATTGTTAAAGCCTATTACTGTCAAGTGCATTACGTGGGCAGTGGAGAATTTATATTCACGTCCACTTTGCCTGATATTAAAATTGATTTATAAGCATGTTTTGTGCACAATGGACTTCTTTGAAATGTCTTACAAGGAAGCATTCAAAAGATACTTTTGTTTTAGTATATCACTCTGAATATAGATACAGCTTTTTTTCAATTAGTAAGAGGACTGAATTACATTTTCCTGCATTAGTACCAACTCGAATGGAGGCTAACACTTAGAAGAATAAAAACTACTTTGTGTGGAAACAGCGACTCAATACAAATGCAAACAAGAATCAGCTCCGTTACAATTTCACTGGTACTAATTAACTTACCCTACTGGTGTTCTAGGCATTCACTGAAAACATTAAGACATTCAGCAAGGGAAAAAGCATTAGTTATAATTAAAACTCGAGAGACAAGAAATACACTGAAATTAATGTGACCATTAATATGTTAGACTAGAGTGTCTAAAGTCCTGAAATACATGGGAGCTGTTTAAAGCGAAGGTTATCACCACAAATGTAGGATTCAGCTGGCTGAGCATGGGGTCTAGAAACAAAGATGGCCAATGGAAGATGCATGGAGGAGCCCTGGACGATGGGAACCCATGTGCAAATCTTTTGGACTGGAAAATTAATTCTAATAAGCACTGGAGGAAACAGACCTTCACGCCCTGTGATTTCATGCCGAGATGCAGAATCTGCCAGTCAGAAATAATGAATAACTTTGTGCAACATTTTAGTTATAATTTAGCATTTTGGATAGAAGTAGAAAAATCTGTAGACAAAAATACAATAATCTCCTTGACATCTATACAAAAAATTGTTATTATTATGCCTCCGTGTGTATGCCTCTACATATGTGGGCTATGACACAGGTGGTACATGTGGAGGCCAGAGGGCTACCTTGCATGTCTTCCTCAGTCTGTTTTTAATTCTTTTTCATTCTGGTTTCTGAGTCAGGGTTTTTATTTTCACATCAATTTCACTAACTCCGCTAGGCTGTTTAGCTAGTGAGCTCATGATCAGCCTGTGTATCCCTTTCCAGTGCTGAGTTTAAAAGTACAAGTTGTCACATTTGGCTTTTTTTTTAATTCTTTTTTTTTAATTTATTTTTTTTAATTTTTTATTAATTACACTTTATTCATTTTGTATCCCCCCATAAGCCCCTCCCTCCTCCCCTCCCGATCCCACCCTCCCTCCCCTTTCTGCATGCATGCCACTCCCCAAGTCCACTGATAGGGGAGGTTCTCCTCTCCTTTCTGATCTTAGTCTATCAGTTCTCATCAAAAGTGGCTGCATTGTCCTCTACTGTGGCCTGGTAAGGCTGCTCCCCCCCGCCCCCTCAGGGAGAGGTGATCAACAAGCAGGCCAATCAGATTATGTCAGAGGCAGTCCCTCTTCCCATTACTATGTAACCCACTTGGACACTGAACTGCCATGGGCTACACCTGTGCAGGGGTTCCAGGTCATCTCCACGAATAGTCTTTGGTTGGAGTATGAGTCTCTGGGAAGTTCCCTGTGTTCAAATTATCTTGTTCTGTTGCTCTCCTTGTGGAGTTCCCGTCCCCTCCAGCTCTTACTTTTTCCCACTTCTTACATAAAATTCCATTCACTCTGCCCATCAGTTGTCCATCATCAGTTGCTCAGCATCTGCTTTGACAGTCTATGCTGGTTCTGGGGATTGAACTCATTCTCTCATGCTTGCACAGAAAGCACCTGATTAACACAGCCATCTCCATAGTCCCCCCTCCCAGTAAAGGAATTATTAAAGTACACTGATAAATATTAACTTCTCAATTACAGACCAAACACCAAACAAAAAACAAATCACAGGAAAAATATGTAAATTATTTGAGGACTGCAAACTTTGTTCAATAAGATATTCCATCCTTGTAGGTAATAAGTATTTCATTCAATAATGAAAATAATCCTTACTCGGCTAAGTATAAAATCTTGTGGACGTTTCCAAGAAAAGACTTTCAGTGATGGGGGTAATTCAATCTTTCCTTCAGGGTCTTCAAAAAAGTGCTAGATAAAAACAAAATAAATAAATCAAACTTTTTATACGGCTTTATTACAATAAAAATCCAATCTTAACAACAACAAAAAACCCAACTAGAACAAATGTTAGATCAATATAGAATTTGTGGAGTGTGTGTGTGTGTGTGTGTGTGTGTGTGTGTGTGCGCGCGCGTGTGTGTCTTCAGAAATGCCTTGTGAATACTTGAATACTGAAATTCAGACTGGCAGGAAAGAAACTAAGCTAACTGCATTTCTCCAAGTCCAACCACAAGTCTCATCCCCAGCTATGCAGCAGACCACTTGCTTTGGCCTCTGCTCACCCTCTACCCCCATTCCTAGGGGACTAAGCATATTCTAGTGAAACACACTGCTTCCCTCCCTCCTCTGGATCTCTCAGTCCCTTCTCGTAGCCCATCCTCTTTTCTGAGAGTCAGTTCCCAATACATAGAAACACATTTTATCCCCAGTGGCCATACCTATCAGGAACTCAGAAGAATTTCTTACCAAGCAACATCCACCCACCATATTCTTCTAACAACCAGAAAGGGCAACAGAAGCTAAGGAACAAAACGCTTACCCAACAAAGAAACAAAACAAATATCTGCACTTAGAATTACAGTATTTTCAAACCCACATGCCTAGACACCAACATAAAAGTGCAATCAATAACAACCAAGACAATATGTCTCTGCTAAGGCCCAGCAACTCTGCAACACTAGGGTCCGAGTATTTCAACATAGCTGAAGCATCAGACAAAGACCTTAAAGTAGACTTTATGAATATAATAAAAATCCTTAAAGAAGAAATGAATATATCCCTTAAAGAAATCTATGAACACACATACACATAGTAAATGGAAATGAATAAAAACAGTGTAAGACCCAAAAGTAGACACAGAATTAATAAACAAAACCCAAAGTAGGAAAATCTGAAAAAAAAAATTAGAAACTCAAACAGGAACTTCAAAGAATACAAGAGATGGAAGACAGAATCTCAGGCATTGAAGACATTATAAGAAATGAATATCATGATCAAAAGAAAGAAGAAGAAGAAGAAGAAGAAGAAGAAGAAGAAGAAGAAGAAGAA